GAGGGAGAGGGAGAGGGAGAGGAAGAAGAAGAAGAAGAAGAAGAAGAAGAAGAAGAAGAAGAAGAAGAAGAAGAAGAAGAAGAAGAAGAAGAAGAGAGGAGAGAGAGAGAGGCCTCCCCCCCCCACTCACGTAGCTTTATTGCACTCCCCTGGTGGAAGTGTGGGTGAGCCAGCCTAAAGCTGTGAGCATGGAAGAGCTGTCCCCATTACTTATCTGTCATGTGGCAGCGTGGGTTGGGGAGAGATGGCCAGCAATCCCCCCACCGCCGCATGCGTGCTGGCCTCGAGGCCATAAGAGTGGGAGAGCTAGCTCGACCCTCAGCAGCAGCAGCCCCTACACCACGCCTGGGCAACACGGTAGAAGTGGCTCTAAAGGTGTAGGTGTGGGGAGATCTAACCCTGAGGATGGGGAAGCAGGAGCGCTGGCTGTGCCCCCTTGATCATCTCTGCAAGGGATGAACTCGCCAAGGCAATGCAGGAGAGCTCACTCTGGGGCTGAAGACAAGGGAGAGCTGGTGGGCTAACTAACCCTACAACTACCCAGAACCAGAACCAGGGTTGTGAGTTGACCCACCCCAACATCCACCCCATCTGTGATCTGCAGGAGCATGTGAAGGGACCAGTCCTGCAGACCCAAAGCTTCAGGATCTCCAAGACACAGGGCAGCAACAGGATATTCAAGAGGAGTCCCAGTGAGGGCCCAGCATCGACAGTGTAGCAGAAACCAGAGGCCTTGAACCAGACCAATGACTCTTTGTAATGAACACTTGCAAGTAAAGATACATGGATAAAAGGGTTAACTGTGTGACTCACTGTGCCACATTGCAGCTTCTATGACGAGATTTCTTTCCCTTCTACTTTGTTTTCTTTTTTCTCTTAAATTTTATTATATTTTTTGTGGGGGAAGTTGCAAGGGCAGAGGGCAGATACAAAGGGACGGGGAAATGAATGGGATGAGCTGTACGGTGTGAAAGACACAAAGAATAAATAAAAAGAAAGAAAAGTAAACATTAAACACCCTATCCTAATACAGGGTTTTCCCCTTTTTTCCTTTATAAACTGCCATTTTCCTATGGGCCATGTCTGTCTCCTATCTCTCCAGAGGTCTCTTATTCTTGGTCTTTGGGCTGAGAACTTGGTCTTGGAGGTCCTGAGCTGATGCTTTTCCTTTCACTCACCATGCTGGACTTGGCCACTGCAGGCCCAAAGGCAACAGGGCCACATGACCATGGAATGCAGTCAGGATAAAGCTCCTCTCCTTCTAAACTGAGTCTCTTGGCATTTTGTCCCAGCAACAGAAAGCACTCTAACACACACCCTCCAATTCCCAGGTGAGAGGGGACATACTAGTCTGGCCTGGCTGTCACTCACCAGATGATCATGAAGAAAGGCACGGCAAAGGCTTCTGACGTGACGCCATGGATCAGAGTCTGCAGCGAGCTGGGGAAGGTGCTCACCGTCTGGGGGATGACCTCCCAGGTGGTGTTGAAGTTGGTGAACGGCCCACAGGCTTTTGAGGAAGGGATGCTGCCAAGACAGAGAGGGCGGGATGGCAGCCCAGGCTGAGAGGTCTGCCCAGGCATGGCTGGAATAGTTATTTGCAATAGCCTGCAGGGAGCTCCCAAGTCCAGGCGTTTCTGGAGGGTTATGTTTGGAAATTCTGACCCTGAGATTCCATCAGGTCTCTAGGTCTAACTTTCCATTTGCAGGACATTCAAGGCAGAAATGTAAGCTTGATGTCACAGAATGAACATACTAGACAACTGTGTATTCCCCAGTCTCTTAATTCAAAGGCAGAGAAAAGGACCAGAACTCCTCAAAGAATCAAAGACTACAAAGACATGATGGCTGAGCACAATAGGGGGCGTGGGAAAGGGCTTTAAAACAAACCCGTGACGACTGTGCTGGGATGGCTGAGAAATTTGAAACTGACAGAAATAATTAGCAATGTTTCCTCTGTGTGCATGTATGTGCATGCATGTGGGTGCATATGTGCGTGTACACAAATGTATATGATGTGTACGTGTGTGTGTGTGTGTGTGTGTGTGTGTGTGTGTGTGTGTGTGTGTGTGACTGTCTGTCTGTGCCTGGAGGCAGAGGTTAACACCAGTGCTTCCTGTTTTAAAGCAGGGCTTCTCAATGAACACTGATCCTGGGGCTTGTCCTTTTGACCAGTCTGGCTGGCCAGTGAGCCCCGGGAGCTGTCTGTCTCCATTCCTCCAGCTGTCTTCCGCCTCCTCCCCAGCCCTGGGGTTAAAAAGTAGCCAGGCTAAAAAAAAAAAGCAAAGGAAAACCAAAAAAGGTAGACCAATAAGCCAGCAGGGACCCTCTGTGGGCTCTAGAAAAGCCCATGAAGAATGTTACAGGTTCTTGTCCATAAAGAGATACAAGTCACAAAAGAAATGAGCAGTTTAGAAAATGAAGATATGGGGGCGGGAGAGATGGCTCAGAGGTTAAGAGCACTGACTGCTCTTCCAGAGGCCCTGAGTTCAATTCCCAGCAACCACATGGTGACTTGTGGCCATCTATGATGAGATCTGGTGCCCTCTTCTGGCATGCAAGCATACATGGAAGGAATGTTGTGTACATAATAAATAAATAAATCTCTAAAAAAAGAAAAGAAAATGAAGATATACTTACCGAGACATGCTGATTGTTAGTGGTATTATTGCTAAGCACAGCCCAATCAGCAACACCAGCAGGAAGAAGAAGTTAGAATTGGATGCTCTGAACTGCCGTGGGGAGGGTCTGCAGGTGTAAAGAAGACTCAGCTATGGAACAAAAGAGAAAGGACAAAATTAGGGTAGTAGGGTCCCACGCTGTAGTGCAATTGGGGACTGTCTAGCCCTGCCAGGGTACAATATTGCAGAGATCAAAAAGAAGAATGCTCAGTGCAGAGTCCAGTTGGGGAAATTCATGTTGATGACATAAGAAGAATGGACCAAAACACAGTGATGCTGTAACCGATGAACAGAGGGAATACTCCAGACAGTGGGGGCTCCTTACAGTGGATCTGAAAGATGTACTGCACACAGCACTTTACAGTGATCTGTGGGACACAATGCACGCAGCACTTTATAGTGATCTGTGGGACACAATGCACGCAGCACTTTATAGTGATCTGTGGGACACAATGCATGCAGCACTTTACAGTGATCTGTGGGACACAATGCACGCAGCACTTTAGAGTGATCTGTGGGACACAATGCACGCAGCACTTTACAGTGATCTGTGGGACACAATGCATGCAGCACTTTACAGTGATCTGTGGGACACAATGCACATTCACAGGGATTCAAATATACAGAAGTGAAACTACAGTGATCTATGCCAACTAAGGAGATATTTTGCTTGAACATTTTACAAGCACATAATCTTTCCCATGTGTTAGAAATAAATATTTACACTGAGGGGATGGAGATTTGAAGGAAATATCAAGTAGAAAAGGAGAGAAAGAAAAATAAAGGCATACTGTTTCTAATAGGACAGACAAACAAACATCACCACCTGCATTTCTGGCTAGGACATGAAACTTGTCTGAATTCCATAAGAACCAGAACAACCTGTGAGCTTACTTCTAGGGGCGAGTCAGACTGCAGCAGGGCCGACCTGGAACCTGTGTCCCCTAGACCGGTGACCCATTTCACTCACCTGTCCTTCACTACACGGCACACGGGAGATCACTAGCCAACTGGCATTTTCCTGTGACTGTGTCCACCATCCTATCTCCTCTGATGACATCTGCTAACTGATGTTTCCAAATGAAGAAGTGGCAACACTGGCCAAAGGCTAAGGCACCCAGAATAAAGTCTGACCCAGAATAAAGTGAGGTCCCACTCACAGGGTGGGCAACCGTACTCAATGACAGCAAGCTACACGTGACTCTAACATTCTGGAGACATGCCCACTCTGTGTGACCTGGGGCCAGTTAGCCCTCTGAGCCTCTGCATTCTCTTTCATAAAACATTAGTGGCTATTCCAGGGCTGGAGGTAAGCACTACAGATAGGAAGTGGGGGCACTGGGGGGCACGGACTAATATTATTCGCTACCGTCAGCATCAGCATTATGAATGCTATTATTTCCATTTTTTAATTGCTAGGTAATCAACAAATTTTCAAATTGGTGGGTGGCACGGACTTGCTTAACATGCTCAAAGTTCTGGGTTCAAGTGCCAGCACTTAAAAAAATGAACTATTTAAAAATAAATCTTAGGCTTATTAACAAAGAAAACGGCAGAAGGGTGGTGATTACTATTTATTTGCTTGCTTTATTGTTTGGTAAGTATGGGGGCTGGTGAGATGGCTCAGTGGCTAAGAGCGTGTACTGCTCTTACAGAGGACCAGACCAGGCAGCTCCAATTCCCTGTAACTCATCTGAGAACCTAACACCTCTGCCATCCACCACACATGTATATACATGCACACACACACTCACAGAGAGAGAGAATTAAAAATAATAAAAAGAAATCATTAAAAAGATCTCTGTCTTCATTTTAAAAAAATAGCAAGCATTGCTTACTTTATGATTATGAGCAAACTAGTAAGTTCAGACAAGCCAGTCACCTGCAGGGCCACTTGCAGTCACCCATGTAGCATCTGATCCTGTCACAATGCATGGGGATCATGAGTTGGGCCAGTCACTAAGGCCCTGAAAAGCTACGCATTGACTCCAAAATTACAAAACAGAAATCAAGAAACCCTTGGCTAAATGTCATGGAAATAGACCACTCTTGTTGAATTCCTAGCTGAAACTCAGTTCAGTCAGTCACAATCAGTCACAGTTACATCATAGGAACAAACCAATTCTTAAATGTGCTTGAGAAAGTTGTCAAAACAAAACAAAACAAAAACAATGTGTAAGCCCAGCACTTGGGAGGTCAAGGCAGAAGATCAGGAATTTGAGGCTAGTCAGAGATATACAGCAAAAAAAGCTAAAAAGTTATTGGAAATCTTTTCCCGGAATAAACACATATTGAAGAAGTGATATTGCATGAGGCCCTGGGTTGGAGGGACATGTAATTACGATGTGTCTCAGGGGCTAAGGAAGGACTCAGATGGGGCTGGGGACACAGTCCCAGGCTATACCACTGGCCTGGCATGCTGGAGGCACTGGGTTCCTGTCCACAGATTTGCAATAGCAAAGCAACAGAACGATCAGTACAGGGTGTGAGCCCCGTGCCTCTCCTCACCTCTTTCACGTAAAAAGTGATAATGAATTTCAAGGTGGCGATGGCGGGGAGGAGCGGGGAGAAGAAGGCTCCAATCCAGCAGATGGTCTGTCCGTACACGATACCCAGGACGTTGTCTGGGATGGCAAATTCCTGCTGGCCCCAGCACTGGATCAGCTTCGAGGATGCACAGTAGGTCACCAGGAGCCTGGAAACAAACTAGATGCATTCTTACCTGATCCTACCAGTGCCCTAAGGCTACAGACCCATAGCCACCAGCCAACATCATTTCCAAGGCAAGAGAGAGAGAGAGAGAGAGAGAGAGAGAGAGAGAGAGAGAGTTGTATGTATGAGAGTGTCCGCATGTTTGTGCATGCAGGTGTGTGAATGTACCTGCAGAGGCCAGAGAGTGACATCAGATGCCTCCCTCAGATGTGGTCCACCTTGTGTTTTGAGGCAGACTCTCTTACTGAGCCTTACTGATTGGGCTGAAGGAGCTAGTCGTTGAGCCCCAGGTACACTTCCATCTCCAACTCTACAATGCTGAGATTACAGGCACAAGCAGCCACTCCAGGCTTTTATGTAGGTGCTGGAGTGACGGAGATCTGGATCCAGGTCCTCGTGTTTGTGCAGCAACTGCTTTTACTGTGGAATGAATCATTTCCTCGGCCCAGGGTTTCTTTTTTATTAAGAAAATGTATCTATGCATGTTTTTATGTATGTACGTGCTCACACGTGCAGATGTGTAATAGCACATGTGTAGACGCCAGAGGACAACGTGTAGAAGTCAGTTTTCTCTTTCCACAGTGTGGGTCCAGTGAACAACCTCAGGTAGGTGAGGATAGGTGACCACTGCCTTTACCCTCTGAGACAGCCTGCTGGCCCCTACTTTAACTTTTCTGGTATCTACCTGTAGGGTTCACTGGACTTCTAGATAATTCCAGACTGGACTTCTAGATAATAATTCTGCATCTGAATGAACTGCTTGAGTTGCCCAGGATGGCCTAGATCTCAGGATGCTCCTGCCCCAACCTCCTGAGTGCTAGAATGATTGATAGGCCTGCCTCGTCACACCCTGGGTGCCTTGACCATGTGGCTGGCGAGCAGAGATTCACTTCAGACTCCTGGGAGGACAACGACCGCAGTGGCGGGGATCATGTCCTGCTGAGCTCTGCACGACAGCATTCTCCCTGTTTTGGTCTGTGCTACTGTGGTGTTTGAAAGAAAATGGCCTCTATAGGTAGTGTCACTAATAGGAGGTGTGACCTTGTTGGAATAGGTATGGCCTTATTGGAGGAAATGTGTGGGGGTGGGCTTTGAGGTCTCAGTTGCTTAAGCTACGCCTGGTGTCACAAACTCCTCCTGCTGCCGGTGGATCAAGATGTAAACTCTCAGTTCCTTGTCCAGCACCATGTCTGCCTGTGCCCCACCATGTTCCACCATGATGGCAATGGACTGAACCTCCGAAACTGTAAGTCAGCCACCTCAATGAAGTGTTTTCCTTTATAAGAGTTGCTAGGGTCACGGTGTCTCTTCACAGCAATAGAAACCCTACCTAAGTCAGTTCCCTTGCTTATTCTCAGAGAAAGGCTCAGATGGCCCTGCTCTCGTGCCTTCCTTGACTCAGGGGAGAAACTCAGTGTCTTGTGACTGAGAGAAATAACTTGCTCATTATTTATATAACAGCAAGAAGATGGTGTGAATCCAGACCCAGAAGCTGCATCCAGCGTGTCTTCCCTGGCAGGGCCTTGGCTGCATCAAGTGCAGAAAGTCTACACCAGGAGGCCTTGTGAAGAGAGGCACCATCTCTATCCCGGGTACCAGGGTACCACCTAAAAATGTGTGTAGCTGAGGCTCCTATGGTGTCAACAGCCTAGGGCCATTTGAAAGTCACCAGACATCAATGGTTCCTCAGTGACTGTGGAGTCACCCAGCGTTTGTGGAGAGCAGCTGTGTCAAGAGCTTCTGGTCATAGAGTTGGGGTGGCAAGAGCTTCCACACTTACTTCCTAGGGAAATCCACGAACAGTGTCACTGCCAGGATGATGATGAAGTCGAAGATCATCAGCTTGTACATTTCCTGTCCCACCTGTGTCTCCCAGCACTGAAATCAAGATGTGGAGACACAATAACAGACCCGCTCCCAGCGCAGAGAGCCAGCCTTCTGTATCCTCAACCATCTCCACATCCCCATCCTGCTGCCCCTAAGGTCCTGCATAGACTTCAGCATCCAAGCCCTTGACCATGCCCAGCTTGGGGTCAGACCTGCCTTGAAGCTGGGAGTCAAGGCCATGGCTCACCGGGTAGAGCTTCTGGTTATAGCCGCAGAGTTCACAGGTGTTGTCACCGCAGGACGTGATCTTGGAGCCCAGCGTGAACACCAGCACGCAGATGGTGGCCAGCCGCATGAAGACACACCTTGGGGAAGAGAAGGCGTCAGGGCTGGACTTCCGTGGACCCTACACTGAGGTCCATGCAAGCAAACCTGAACTACACAGTTTCTGCTGGGAAGCAGATGGTAGGAAGCTGACTTAAGACCAGTGAGTTGTACACTTTAAATGATCAAATGGTAACTTCATGTTATACGTATTTTACAACAAGTGTTACAGTATTATTAATTTTTATTATTTATATGCATATGTAGGTGTTTGTGTATGGCTATGTGCACATGCACACCGGTGGCCATGGAGGCCAGAAGGGGACATCAAATCCCCTTGATTACAGGCTTTTACAGGTTACAGGCTGTTAGAAGCCACCTGCTGTGAGTGCTAGGACCTAAACTCAGATCTTCCGCAAGCGCACCTAACCTCTGAGCCATCTCTCCAGCCTCTACAAGTCCTAAGGCAGGAAAAGGCAAGGCATGGTGGCACACAGATGCCGAGTTCAAGGTCAGCCTGAGGCACAGTGAGCCCCTGATTCAGAAAGGAGGAAGGAGGGAGGGAGGGAGATACAGAGACAGAGAGAGACAGAGACTGAGTAGTCAGCTCAGCATGTGGAACTGTGTGGATCCTGCTATGAACAAGTCGCCACCCCCCTCCACCATGGAGACTGGCTCTATTTTGGAACATGGGGTAAAGTTTTGTTAAACCAGGTCCTGGTGACTTGGAGACACTGAAGTGTTTACGGGTGGAATGGCATGCTACCTAAGAGCTCCTTAATATAACCCAGCATAAACACAGAGAAAGCATGAACCAAGGTGGGCCAAAGGTCAGGTATGAATGCAGCTGTTGAGTGGAAAGGCTTGAAACTTCCTACAGTGACAGGGAGGGCACCACATGCGGGAAGGGAGACCCAAGAATGTGGAGGAAGTCAGTAAGGTTAAAACACATTATACACACACACACACACACACACATATGAAAATGTCACAATGAAACACATTGTTTTGTTCAGATAAGTGCTAATAAAAAAAATCCCTCCACCCCTGTAGTTACAAAATACAAAGTTTTTATTGTTTTCTTGCTTTAAAAAAAAAAAGACAAAAATGATATAAATACAGTCCGGACTGGCGGGTTAGGCCTGTAAATCCCAGCACTTCAGTAGCTGAGGCTGGAGGATGTAGAATTGAGGCCATTAACAACATAGAAGCTTTCTAACAGCCATCCTCTCTCTCAACAGCAGTTTGCTCAACCACATTTAAGGATCTCCAGGATAAAAGATTAAAAAGTCCTTAGCCTTCTTACACATACTGGGATGAGCTCTGTCCTGATCAGTCTTATGTCAACTTGACACAAGCTAGAATCATCAGAGAGGGGGGAGCCTCAGTGAAAAAAACCTCTGTAAGATCGGCTGTAGGCAAGCCTGTAGGGCATTTTCTTATTTAGTGATTGAAGAGGAAGGGCACAGTGGGGACACCCCTGGGCTGGTGGTCCTGGGATCTATAAGAAAGCAGGCTGAGCAAGCCATGTTGAACTTGGCAGTAAACAGCACCCCTCCATGGCCTCTGCATCAGCTCCTGCCTCCAGGTTCCTTCAGTGCTTGAGTGCCTGTCCTGACTTCCTTCAGTGATGAATAGTGATTTGGAAGTATACGCCAAATAAACCCTTTCCTCCCCGACTTGAAACATTGGCATGGTGTTTCAATGCAGCAATAGAAACCATAACTCAAAAGAAAAAAAGAAACCCTCAATCCCAGATATCTGAGAAGAAGGAAAAAATTATCCAATTCAAACACAGTATCCGCTTGGCTATCTTTGCTCACTATGAACTCTCTGGATTCTACCTGATGCTGGCAGTTCTAACATCTTTGGAACAGTATGTCCTTCTAGGGCCCCATCCTATGCTTTCAGTTAACACAGAATCAGAAGTGTAACACTGACAGGAGACTCTGAAGTCTAGGGACCTTCACTGTGTGGCAAATGATAATTTACTCATGGGGCTCATCAAAGGAAGGATGATTCTCAGCATAGCAGGAAAACAAGCCACAAGCAACCAGCAATGTCTGCCGTGAGTGAGCACTGGTCTATCAGGTGTGCACGCAGCTAGGCATTACCTAAGAATTGTCAGGCGGATCTCGAAGCCTGGCGAGTAATCCTCATAGTGGATGATCTTGGCAAAGATGATTGGGGTGATGAAATTGGCCAGTGTGATCACAATGGACGGGAGGTACAATATCAAGAGGTTCTCCCCAAAAACCATCTTGTTAATTTCCTGGAAAGATAACAGAAAGCACTGGTCAGCCTAAGTGGGGTGGCGATGGTGAAGATTTGAACTGCAGAGAACTCAGCTGTGCATGCTGAGAAGACACACAAAGCACATTTATCAACCCGGCGGCTGGGAAACATAAGCCTTGGCTGCTTAGAGCCTTCCTTCGATGCACACAGGCAGACACGCTGGAAGAATAATGAATGCTGCTGGACATATTAGTGAAGTACACAGAATTCTGTGTGTGCTGTGTGGACAGCCCATTCAAGTTACCTTAGGAGCAGATCACACACACACACACACACACACACACACACACACACACACATATTCAAGATGAAAACTAAGTTGCTTAGCCTTCCTTGAAGCTAGGTATACAACTGTAACTAAATTCTAGCTGAGGCAATAGAAGTTTTTTGTTGTTGTTGTGTTGTTTTGTTTGTTTTGTTTTTCCGAGACAGGGTTTCTCTGTGTAGCCCTGACTGTCCTGGAACTCACTTTGTAAACCAGGTTGGCCTCAAACTCACTGAGATCTGCCTGCCTCTGCCTTCCAGATGGGATTCAAGGCGTGCACCACCCCTGCCCAGTCAGAAAATTTTAAATCAAACTCTGTATCACCTCCTTGAAGAGATGAGTCAGCCCCAGCCTCCCCACTTTCCCTTTGGCTAGAATGTGGATACAGCAGTGAACCATCTCGTACCATAGAGAAAGCAGCCACGGTATATGAATGGATGATGAAGCCACAAGTTGGATGGCATTTATGGTATTTGGGTATCTAATGCCTGATGATTGACATTCACTACACCAATTTAGACATTTTTATATATCTAAAGAAGACTTCACTATGAAATTCTGGCTGGTCTTGAATTTGTGTTTCTCTGAGCCTCCTAAGTGCTGGAATTCCAGGTACGCACAATCACACTCAGTTCCCAACACAGATTTTTAAAAACACTGCTTGGGACTAGGGAGATGGCTCAGGAGTTAAGACTGTGTACTGCTTTTGCAGTGGGCCTAGGTTCCATTTTCAGCATCCATAGCCAGCTACTAACTTCAGGGGCTCCAACACCTTCCTCTTCTGATCACCACAGCCACATGCATTCATGGGTACCAACTCCACTTCCTACATATATACATGCAATTTAAGACAAAAAGGCTTTTAAAACACGGATTCTTCTTATAAACTGAGGCCCTGGCTGATAACTAGAAGAGTCAGAAAACACAGACGGCCCGGCTTAGATCTGAATACTGTGAACTCCTCAGGCGGGAAGAGGTATTCCCAGAACAAAGTTTTCTGATCAGCTGATTCGCTGTTCCTGTATCCACTGAACTTCTCCTTCCACCTGAGTAGAGAAATGATGTTGGTATCTTCCACAGAGATCTGCAGGGCACCCCGCACGCTGCCACGCTAGGGGGCAAGGTCAACTGACTCTCCCGGGGCACTTACCTTCTTCATGTGCTCTTGTGAGAAGGTAGTGGCTAGGTAGATGGCATAGAAGCAGGCCGCAAGCACGGCCAGCACGATGCAGTTCAAGAACAGCCTCAGAGAGTAAATGCGTATGGTTTCCTCCGAGGTCCTTTCGGCTATTTTCTGTCGTATCCGCTCTTCCTCCAGATCTGCCTAAGGACCAAAGAAAACTCATTCGTGAGCATTTTGTAACATAGCCCACAGATTTCTCTTAAAGATGTTGCCCGAGATAGCTTCCCAGGCTAAGCCCCATCAGTTTTTATGTCTAAGGCTTATGGTAAGGTAGAACCTTCCACTCTAGATTGCATTTGGCTTTGCAATAAATTTGTAAGCCGAATAGGCATTTATGATGCATGTGTGTGTGTCTATGTGTGTGTGCGTGTGTGTGTCTGTGTGTGCACATGCAGATAGTGCAGTATTTCTTCAAATGGGATATATCATTATTTTAACTTTGTTTATTAATTGGTAATTTATTTATCTGAAGTTCTGGGGGTTGAGTACTCCAGGCCAGCCCTCTACCATCAACCAATATCTCCAGCCCTTAAAAAAAAAGTTTTTGTTTTTGAGATAGTCTTATTGAGTTGCCAGGACAGCCTCAAGATTTAGCTCTTCTGCCTCGGCCTTTCAAGTCGCTAGGATTATGGGTATGTCCTGCTATGTTTGCTTTTAATCCAGCCTGGGAGTCTCTGCTTCTAACAGAATTTAACTTGTTCAAGGTTAGCGTAATAAATAGTAAATAGAGCCAACTCCACCCGCCTTCCTTCAGTTTTAGATCCCTACCCCCAACCTTTTTCTCATGGGTTTGACCAACATGCTATTCATTTCTCTTTTCCTATTAAACGTGGAAGTTTTCCTGTTACTCCTCAGCTTCTCTCTAATCCAGTCTGTTATCACAGCACACCCTTCACGTTCCCATAGCAAACAACCTTTATGACGCTATGACCAGTTAGGATATTAATAAGACAGTAGGGAATGGGGGGGTAAGACACCACCTGCCCTGTGTGTCCTACTTCTCTTCTCAGTCCCAAGTTATCAGCACCCATGCTCAGGCGAAAGGTGATCAACCCGATAAACTGTTTGCTGTAAAGAGCTCCTAAAACCAGCAAAGGGGAAGATTGCTGAGACAGAATGCGGCCTGAGCTCCCATGTAACCTGCACACAGCCTCCCTGCACCAGCCTGGTAGGGAAGTCCCTCCCCGGGGCAAGCTAGCAGCACTCACTCGGAGCTCATAGCGCAAGCTGCTGTGTTTCAGCTCTGCCATGCTGCGGTTGGTGATGCAGAAGTCCCAGCCAGCGAAGATCTTGTTACAGTAACTCTGGAAGTGCTCCTCGCTCCGGATCAGGTTGATCTTGAACCCTTCCACTGACCTGACCCCGAAACACAAGTATTCTTCTGAGAACAGCAGCAACACATAGGCCCGTGAGTTGGTCTCGTTTAAGATCTACGAAGTTGGCTATGGCTGCATTGCTGGCCCATTGGAACAGTGAAGTTTATTCTAAGACAGCTGAGCAGGTATCTCACTGGTGGGATTCATTGTCTTTTATCCATTCAGTAACTTCTTTTTTTAAAGATATACCTACTTTATGTGTATGGTAGGTATATGTGGGGTGTTTGGCCTACATGTATTGCTTGTGTACCGTGTGCACACCTGTTACTGTGGGGGCCAGAAGAGGGTATCACATCACCCAGAATTGGAGTTATATATTGTTGTGAGTCACCATGTGGATGCTGGGAATCAAACCAAACCCAGTCCTCTGGAAGAGCAGCCAGTGTACACATCACTGAGCCATCTCTTCAGCCCTCCACGAGGTAATTTACCTTTTCAAAATAATTTGCCTTTTTTAAAAAAAAAATTTACCATATGTATTTATTTATTTGTTGCAATGCTGAAAATTGAACCCAAAGCTTCTCCTTAGGCCAGGTTGATCTGTGAACTAGACTCCTAGCTTCCCCTCCCCTGATAATACTTCTGTTTTGAGACATTTGTTGAGGCGTCCAGGATGCCCTCAGATTTGTGATCCTCCTGCCTCAGCCTCTCGAGTAGTTGAGATAATAGGCATGCACGGCCCACAGTTTTCACTCTGAAATCCCTTGTAGTTTTCACAAACACAGCTTCCATTGTGTTCCTGCTATAGTTGGGTTAAATGACTGTCAACAGTATTTAGAATCTCTCTCCTTTCTTGGGAGTTGCTCTCTCACCAAACCACTAGGGAAAGGCCTTGGTGTCTTAGGACCTGTCAGACTCTTCATGCTGCGGCGAATACCTGAGATTGACAGCTTAAAGCCGGAAGGGGTTATTTGCTTCACTGTTCCAGAAAACTTCTATCCATGGTTGACTGGATCCATTGCTGGGCCTGAGGTGATGGGGAGCGCATTATAGCAGCTGGGCGTGGTGGAAGAAGCAGAGGGGAGGAGGGAAATATCCAGGAAGTAGGAGGGGAGATGCTGACAAAGTATGTCACCTGCTTCCTCCAACCCGGCCTGGCTCCTAAAAGCCCATTCAGCTGTGCAATCATCAGTGGATCGCCCTATTTCTGAGATTAGCATCCTTATGATGCATTCACCTCTACATAGCTCACCATCTGGGGACCAAGCCTTTGACAGTGAACCTTTAGAGGGAATTTCACATCCAAGCTACATGACCCTAACCAAGCGATGGACACACACCATCAGGGACTCAACTCATCAACAGTCTTCCGGCTCTGACCACAATGGAAGGGTAAGGATTAGGTATCTGAGTGGACAGAGCTAACAAGACCTTTATAGCGTTTCTGTGGCCACGATCAGGCGGACTGCAGGCTGACGGAAATGGATGCGCTATTTCCCACCACTACGAGAAGCTGCTGCCATACAGCTGCTCAGAGCTGAGGCGGTTCTTGCCCTAGACATCACTCCCAAGCGAAGACTGTATCCTTCTCAGATCAGTCTCGTGCCTTCCTTGGCTCTCCACACATTCAATTCCCCAATGGTCCAATTAACCATAGTTGGTTTTCTGCCACTTGCAAGCCAACAGAGACCCAGTTAACATAACACTCCCCAGCCAGAGTGAAGCCCGTTGAGAAAGAGGGGCCTGGAAGAGGCACTTAGCACACACTCAACTGCAGACCGCTGCTCCGGCTGCCAGCTCCTGACTTCTGCTTCCTCCAAGCCTTGCCTGCAGCACACTCAACCCCTTCCTCTGAAGCCCACCCGTAGGTTCTGCTCATCCTTCAGGCCCTGACTTCCAAAACTATAAGAGTTCAGTCACTGAGAATCGGAGATCCCGCCACACACTTAAAAGGGTGGGGAAATGTAGGGAGGTTGCGGGACGAGCTCACAGAGGTAGGTCACAGGGCTAGAATCCTGGACCAGAGTGTTCTCTGCCTTCTTACCCACCATCCTATGAACAAGCTTCTGTGTCAAGCTCCTACTGCCATGCCTTCCCACTGTGATGGACTGAAATTCCCTGTACCCACGAGCCCGGATAAATATTTCCTCCTTTGAACTGTTTCTGACAGGTATCTATCTGGTCACAGCAACAAGAACATTGCTGACACAAAAGTCAACGAGAAAGAGAAAGCAAGGCACACTTACCTTTTCACTATCCAGAGGAGACTCAGGGCCAGGTAGGCAATTGTGCTTATTAAGTAAGCCAGGGGCAGATCATACGTGAAGTTCTGGAATTTTACTCCATCAATGGTGTAGTGTCCATAAAAAAGGCCGGTCTTCTCCAGGAAACCCTGAACAAAGCAAGAACACGGGTCAGGGTGGGTCAGCTCAGAAAGGCAATCAAAGGAGGCCTCCTGGCCTCAAGGGACCCACACTCGAGTGCCCTTGTTCATCCCAGAATCTCTCCACACCAGAGCGAAACTCAAGGTATATGAGCTGCTCAGTTAGTGTTAGTGGAATATGGATCTGCTAAATCCTGAGTGTCAAAGTTCCCTGGGAAGTGCTGGGAAGGTGGCTCAGCAGCGCCTGCACCACAGAGATCACATTTGGTTTCCAGTCCCCACAGCAGGGGGACTCACAACCTTCTGTAACTCCAGCTCCAGGAGACTTGACGCCCTCTTCTGGCCTCCAAGGGTACTGTCTCATGTCCATATAACCCCACACAGACACATCCATATACAAACAAAAATTAAATACCTTTAAGAAAATTAAATGGTAAGCCACACTTAACTAATGTGAAAAAGAAATTTCTAGGCCATAGCATCAAAAAGAACACGTAGGAATAAGTTTAACACAAGTATAAATAGTATATTATGAAAACTATGAACCACATTTGAAATAAAAACGGGCTGGGGGTGTAGTTCAGAGGGTAGAGTGTTGGCCTAGTATGCACAAGGTTATGGGTTTGATCCCAGCTCAAAACAGGGATGGAGACACACTCCTGCAATCCTAGCACTCTGGAGGTGGAAGCAGATGGATCAGAAGTTCAAAGTCATTCTTTTTGAGATACATAACTATTTTGATGCTAGCCTGGGCTAAAAGAGACATTATCTCAAAATAACAAAACAAAACAAAAACAAAAAATATATGTGTGTGTACATACATACGCATATACATATATATATAAATATATATGTATATTTGGGTGGTGGTGGTCATGCCTCCAGTCCACACACTTTGGGAGGCAGAGGCAGGCTGATATCTTTTAGTTTGAGGCCAACCTGTTCTACAGAATGAATTCCAGAATAGTCAGGGCAGCTACACAGAAAAACTCCATCTTGAAAAACCAAAAATAACTAACAGAAAGGCATCCATTTGTTTTCATTCATGTACTTGGTTTAGGATTTCTATATCAATACTCCACAAATGGGTCTATGGAACCAGCGTGCGCGCACACACACACGCACACACACACACACACACACACACACACACACACACTCAGAACCCAGCTGGCTTCATTTGGAAATGAACAAGCTGGTCTTCAAGTTTAGATACAACGACAAGGGAGCTAGCATCCAAAGCAGCCTTAAGAAGAGCAAAGCTGGAAGAGAGGGTCTTGCCACAAAGCAAGATCAAGGGCGTCCAGTACAGGCACAAAAAGGCACAGAAGTCGCCTTTAATCCCAGCACTTCGAGAGCAAAGGCAGGTGGATCTCTGTGACTTCAGGGCCAGCCTGGTCTGCACAAAACAAAGCAAACCACCACCAACAACAACAACAAAATCAGACACACAGCAGAAAACAGAACCAAGCACCCAAACATCTCCAGCTGACAAGCTTTTATAGGGGAAGAGATGTCCTCTGAACACACGATAGGGAGACACCAGAGACACACGTGACAACAGCTGGAAATGGCTCAAGGATCTAAGCAGTAGAGGCAGACAGAGAAAAGTGGTGGCAAGCTTAAAGAGTTTGAGCCAAGCAGCAAGACTGTTTAAAAATGAACAAACAGATAATAAACAAAGTCCTATTTTTTTTATGACAACCACATATTCTCGCACTACCTGAGTAAGAAAATGCGTAAATAGAAGCAAATATAGAAAGAGAAGACTCCATACTGTCTCCCACTCTCTCAAAGGCTGGACACACATCATAAATATCTGTCCAGCTCTTCAGATCCCTTTCCACATGGCCTCAGATTGATCTCAGTTCTCACAACCTTCTCCTTACATTAAAAGGACATCAGAGGGCCACAGAGCCCAGAAAATAAGTTCCCTGACCTCAGAAGGAACCTGTTTCAGAAGTCAAGCCTGTGGCCCTTTGGCCCTCTTTTTTTTTTTTTTTTTTTTTTTTCTGTTTCTGTAGAAAGTGACAAAAATGGAATGAAATAAAACCCCTTCCTCGGTCACAGACTCCACATCTCAAGCGCTCATGAGCCAGCCACTCTCTCACTGTGCATAACAGACCCAAGCGATTCTCCAGAACACTGCAGAAAGTTCAGGACAGGTTGCTGAAGCAAGCTACCTGTGTCGAACATCCATGATCCTGTGCCACTAACTGTCCTTTAAAACACACGAATATACATTGCCTGTGGGATGCAATGTGAAGAAATGGGGCTATTTAGTGAGTTCCTGATTTGAAAGACCAAAGAGAAAAGGAGGAGGAGGAATAGAGATGACAGTAGCTCTGAGGTCAGGTCAGGTTCCAGGAATTTTTATTTTTTTATTGAGACAGGGTGTCACTATGTATCCCTGGCTGTAGACTAGGCTGGCCTAGAACTCGCAGAGATCCACCTGCCTCTGCTTCCCTGTGCTAGGATCAAAGGTGTGCTCCGCCATGACGAGTCAAATTTTGTTCTTTGTAACAATGACTTCGGGCAAGATACTGTGTGGTCCTCCTTTGTGCAGCTTCCATTTCCTCATTTATGTATGCAGCACTCGACTGTGCACCAACCTCTGAGTTGTTTTTGTAGAAAACATGACTTTGGAGATGTAAAAGCACCCCCCCCCCATGTGCCACCATATTAAATACAATGGACAAATCCCAGACTTTTTAATCTAACTGTTTAGAAAAGCAATGGCGTGGCATTTTAATACTAGCAACTTCCAGAAAGATTAAACCATCTGTAGGCTAAGCGTCTTCTGTCTGGAATGCTTGGAACCAGAAGGACCTGACATTTCTGAGCTTTTCAGAATTTGGACTCTTCACATAGACTTCACCAGTTGGGTGTCCATCAGCCAATCCCAAACGTCCCCAGTCTGGCTTTGAGTTTTCAGATCAGAGATGCTAACTGCAGAGTGTTATATTAATTCAGGCCAATACAAAGGTAGCAGAGAGGAGGAGAAGACCAGCAGCTGGAATCAGCAGAGAGTATTTCCGGCATACTCTAGCGGAAGGTCAGTGGGAGCACAGGACTTGCTAGTGAGCTCACCACAAACCCTGTTTGGCTGCTCACTGCCAACACTGGCATTCGGCTCTCACTGGTCTTTGACAAAGAACACTGTGTTTTGGATTTTGTTGTCATTTTGAGACAAGGTCTAACTATACAGCCTAGGCTGGCCTGGCAATCCTCCTGCCTCTACCTGTAAGATCATAGGCACACAGCACAGAGCCCCGGATGCAGGATACCAGTGTCTAAACAACATGACTGTCAGTGTAAGGAGGGTCCACAAAGGACTGAGTTAAAGACTCACCGTTCCAGAGAGCAAGTCGATGATGAAACTGTAAAAGTAAATGAGGCCAGGGCTGCTCATTGGATAGACTGTGCACTCAATATCTGCAGGAAACAACGCAAAGGACACGTGTCAGAGAGAGTCTCGCTATGTCACCAACTCGTCCACTGCAGCTTGGGAACATAAGCTGTGGATACACACTCGGATACGCCTGTGAGTTTGTCCATACATCTGTTACTCCCTGTTGCTCTGCATTCAGGTCCCAGTGTGTCTGATAGATCCCTTCTCCTTTCATTTCTGTTTTTAGGGTTTCTTTTACTGGTCCTTTACTAAACAGTTTGGGGTTATAGCTATTTTTGTTTGTTCAGTGGGTTTTTTAATTGCTTCATTTTGCTTGGTTGTTTGTTGATATATGTGCATATGTGCAACTTGTTCATGCAGATGCCCACAGAGGCCAGGAGAGGGCATCGGATCCGATGGAACAGAGGTTCCAGGTGGGTACGGCTGCTATGCTGATGTGGCTGCCATGAACAGAACCTGGATCCTCTGTGAAAGCAGTATGCGCTCTTAACTGCTGAGTCCAGTCCCTTGTTTCACCATATAGTTTAGACCACTCCAGCTCAGCGTCTTCCCCTCTCGGCATCCTAAGCAGTAAGATTAGAAGAGAAGCACCACTCAGTGCGCTTAGCGTTTAATATTTATGTGTGTTGGAAAAGTATGTGTATGCAAGTGCCCACAGAAGACAAAACAGGGGGGATCATACTACGTCTGGAGTTACAGGCAGTTGTGAGCTGCCCACTGTGGAGCTGGAAACCAGACCAACACCACCTCTGCAGCCCCAACATTTATTGTTCTTTACACGATCTAAGTATTCAATAAGAAAGTGTTGTTTTAAGGGAAGAATAATCATCTCTCTTTAAATGATCACCCCAGCTCGACAGAAAAAGAAACTGAGGCTCAGAAAGGTTGACTGAGCAGCAGAGCTGGCCTGGAAACCTAATGTTGATTTTCACACAACACAGGAAATAAGCCTCTAAAACGAGGATACAGAGAAAATAGGAATGCATACGAGGCAGAAAACGGCCCTCGCACTAAGTCTTAGGTGCCAGGCTATTTGAATTTTAAGAGAATTAAAATGGAAACAAAGATGAGGAGGAAGAATGACTAGGGTCTCTGAAGGGATGCTCCCGGGTTCTTCTAGGTCAGGAGTTATGTGACAGGTGGGCATGAGGGTTCTGGAAGACCTTCAGAAGACCTGGAGCCAAGCTGGCTCCCCCACTGAGCCTGGGATCAGAGGTTTGCAGTGACTATCTGTGAAATAGAGAAAAACTCCTCATCTAGGCTAACAGGATCCCCAGAAGATGTGAATTTTGTTAAGAAGACAAAAGCCCAGCCTGGCGCTTACCACAGTGTCTGACACAAGATCCCTGTGGAACTGTTATTAAGCTCCAAGCACATTCTTATCACAGATAGCAATCTTGAAATGAAGTCATCTGGTCGATTCTCTCAGGTTTACTAAATCTCCCCCTTACCCACCCTGCATTGCTCCTCCCACGTGCCCTCATGAACTCAGGAGGGGCTGAGGGTCCTGACTCAGCCAGTGAGATGTGGAGGAAATGTGTCATCTCCAAACACAAGTGTCAGTAATCAGCGCACATTTGCCGTGGCTCTCTTCCCCTGGGTCACAGTGACAATCATGGCTGCCCCAGCAGTTTGGGCTCTGGAGTGACAATTCCCAGCCCATGATGGATCTGGACCGTGAGAGAGAAGTACGTGCTTATTGACACCAAGGACAATGGGATCATTTGTTTCTGCAGCATAACCTAACCCATCCCGATCGACACATTGGCCTAGGACCCAGGATCAAGATGCCCTTCCTACTCACCCATGTCTTTGAACGGCACGAACACGAAGGTGCTGTTGGTGATCTTGTACTCGGTGAGCAAGATGGGGAGCAAAACCAACATGAAGATGATCAGGAATATCACCAGGTTCAGGACCACCAGGAACCGTAGGAAAGAGAAGTAGGACTGGATCCCCGTGCCGAACTTCCCTGGAAAAGAAGCAACACGGCTACCAATGACCTGCTGCACGCTGTGGACTCCATCACCGAGAGAAGGATTGGAAAGAGAGGGAGACATATTCCTTCAATGTATTTTTTTATCATTTGGGGGGGGGGGCACCGGCATGAGGTCAGAGGACAACTTTCAGGAGTCCGTCCTCTCCTTTCACCACGTGGATCCCAGGAATCCACTCGGATCATCGGCAACATCTCACGCTCTATTCTTTACTTGAAGCCCGGATTCCTAGAGAGTTTTCATGTGTAGATCCACAGCTGCTTCTGAATGAGTCCTCCAAGAGCAGTGTAAGGAAAGGAAGGGCTTCACAGTTAGCTTTCGTCACATGAATACCCAGCTGCCTCAGCACTGCTTTGGATGTCAATTGTTTCTGTCTGTACACACGCTCTGAGTCCTATCCTGCCCGCAGTCCACGCATCTATCTTTACATCAATGTGAGACTCAGTTGTTGCAGACGTGTGCAAAGGAATGCTCTCCGGTGCTAGCTCCGCTCTTCCCTGAGCTTATCCCAGGTGCCCCCGCGACTTAGCATTTCTAACATACAGTGCTTGGAATCAGTGCGTCGATTTTCACACACAGACACACAGATGAGTCTCCGATTGATTCACATGAAATACATTGGTGAATTTGAGAAGTGACAGTTCATCTTTTTAATATTAAATCTCCTGAACTGCTGCTACTACTACTTCTTCTTTTTCTTCTTCTTCTTCTTTTTCTTCTTCTTCTTCTTTCTTCTTCTTCTTCTTCTTCTTCTTCTTCTTCTTCTTCTTCTTCTTCTTCTTCTTCTTCTTCTCCTCCTCCTCCTCCTCCTCCTCCTCCTCCTCCTC